CCCCCCCCCCGCAACAGCCGCTACCAAAGTCTCTGAAACACTGTTGCAAATTTTCAGCGAAAGAGGATGTAGCATCAGATACATTTTATGTGTTGGGTGCAGCGTGCTGAGTGATGTGTCAGCGTAACACTTCCAGGTATTAAAGGAGAACTACGGGGTCAGGGCTGGACGGGAGGACACAAACTAGCGTCCTCCCGTCACCCAAAGCTCAGTATATAGGGAGCTACAGCTCGCGGTATACTGAGACCGCCGCAGCCGGGACGGATCCCGACATTACTGTATGGATCCACCCAGCTGCGTGATTGACAGCTGGCTCTGCCTATCTAGAAGCAGAGCCAGCTGTACCCGCCCCCTCCCCCGTCCGTTCTGCCAGTCATCGCTCGAGGATCGGAAAGGGGAGGGGGGGAATCCCTGCAGGGGCTCTCTGCAGGGATAGATCGAGAGGTGAGCGAGCGACGGTATGTTTCGCTTACTTCCCGATCTATTGAGCCGACCTGTGACAGTTTCATTGTCACACGTCGGCTCCAACTGTGAAGATGAGTGATTTTCACTCACCTCATAATTCTCCTTGAATTCATTCTCACAGAGATCACATGACTCCCCCTGACAATGCCTTCATCTGTTTCCCTCTCCAGAAGGATGGCACCATCTTTGTTCAGGCATCATCCAGGGTCACCATCTACTTCCTGGGTGAGATGCCGGTTCAGAGATGACACAGTCATGTAAATCCTGGTGTCCTGTCACAGATCAGCCCCTCACCTTGACCTAGTTACAATGTTGCAGACTGATCACTGGGGGGAGGGGAGACTGAGGAAATGCTTCCTCCTGCCTGCAGCAGACTGATCACTGGGGGAGGGGACAGCACACTGATCACTGGGGGAGGGGATACTGAGGAAATGCTTCCTCCTGCCTGCAGCAGACTGATCACTGGGGGAGGGGAGACTGAGGAAATGCTTAATTCTACTGACAGACTATACTTTTATGTCAATATTGATTTTGCCCACAGTTAAACTTTAATATAAAGACATATTTATTGCAAAATAATGATAATAATGACAAAACCTAATAAATAAAAAAAATTAAATCATGATAATATTTATCCCCCTAATAGAAAATATGAATATTGTAAATTAAAGATCCTTTTATAGTATTTGAAGTTTAATTATGATGCATTGGATACAAAATAACAGTTAGCCCCATATACTGATTCCCTTCTGGTTAATATTGTTTGTAGTTTGATCCTGCCAAGCATAAATAAAGTTAATTTAAGTCTTGATGGCAATACTGCTCTCCACGTGACTCACTTCCAGCCTCCTCCAAGGACATTCACTCTCCGTCTGGGGATGACAGGTTCTCATGCAGCTCGCAGCCATGCTTCTGCTGTGACGTCACCGGACCTTTTCCACGCCTCCGGCGTTCTGCGATTGGCTGGCTTGGCCTAGTGAGGTGATGTGTGCTTCCGCCATCTTGGAAAAGGTATACGTGAGGCCGTTGTACAGTACAGTTATATTATTTTCAATGTAGAAACATGAACAAGTTGGACAAGCGCGATATAGTGACCTCCCTCACTGTTCAAAAGAAAAGTTGAGATAATATGGCTTGTAAGAACTTACCTGCCCTTGTGTCTCAGCCCACCGCCACCTACTTCACTCAGTCTTGACGTTAATCGCTCACAACCAATGTGAAGTTTGTGTTGGCAAAAATTAATTAAACCTCAACATGCTAGGTACTCTGTTACTCTGAGATTTTACATCGGGGTTGACTTTCTGAAATATATGCATCTTTTCCGAACATCGTTATCCAACCGTCAAAATGGTGCCCTGTGCAAAGAGACTATAATACCCAGCAAGATGGCGGCGCCCGAGGCCGGCGACGTTTTGTCAAGCTGCGCTGCTATTGGCTGTCAGCCCCCACGGTGGTGAGATAGCAGTACGTTGCAGCGTCACCGGGGCCTGTATCCGGCTGGAGCCTCGGTCTGGGAGGGTGATGGAGCCCGGTGGGGCTTGTGGGACGAGGAGCTGGACTAGGAGAGGCCGGGGCCGTAGCCTCCGGGAGACTCGGGAGGTGAGTGATGTATGTGGCGGTGGGCGGAGACACAAGGGCAGGTAAGTACCGGGGATGGGCACTGTGCGGACCTCCTTCTGATGAGGAGCTCAGAGATCCTGATCCCACCGGGTATGTAGGGAGGCTGTGTGCTTGTTACGGAGGAACTACAAGTGCCAACAGGAGCACAGTGGGGTAGGGGGCTTCTCCGTACACGGGGTATGTGAGACCTTGTATCTGCTGGGGAACTACAAGTCCCAGCAGCACAGTGGGGGAGGGGCTTCTCAGTACATGGGATATGTGAGACCTTGTATGTGCTGGGGAACTACAAGTCCCAGCAGGAGCACAGTGAGCCTGATCACCCCAGTACATAGGCCTGCTTTCCCAGCAGGAGTACAGTAAAGGGAGTTTCCTAGTACTTGGCAATGTGAGGATATGAGCTCAGCAGGAGCACTGTGAGCCCGGCCATCCCAGTACATAGGATTGCTGGCTGCTGTAGCTTTACAGTTTCTAAGCAGCTACAAGGCCCAGCCGGAGCGCAGTGAGCCTGATCTCCCCAGGACATAGACCATCCTGTGTCTTTACCGCTGATGGGGAACTACAAGTCCCAACAGGAGCACAGCGAGTCTGATCCCTCAGGACAAAACCCAGCTGTGGCTTTACAGTTGCCAATGAACTACATGTTCTAGCCGGAGTACAGCGAGTCAGATCACCAAAGTGCATAGCGCTGACGTCTACCGTCGGCTCTACAGTTGCCGAGGAACCACAACTGCCAACAGGAGCACAGTGAGCCTGATGGTGCTATCTACCTATCCGTATGTTAATTGGTCTTATCGTTCTTGGGAACTACAAGCTCCAGCAGGAGCACAGTGAGTCTCATCATCCAGTACATAGGCCAGCAGGAGCACGGTGAGGGGGAGCTTCCTAGCGCATATTTGAGGCCTTGCAGCAAACGGGGAACCACAAACCCAGCAGGAGTGCAGGGAGCCTGATCATCCTATTACATAAGAGTTGCTGGCTACTGCTACAGTATTCACAGGAGTGCAGGGAGCCCCATCATCCCATTACGTAGGGTTGCTGGCTACTTCCTGGGCTTAATGCTGGTGTGCGGATTTAAAGCCACAGTATCAACCGGAGTGCAGGGAGCCCGATCATCCTATTGCATAAGAGTTGCTGGCTACGTCCTGGGCTTGATGCCTGTGTGGATTTAGAGCCATTGTATGAACAGGAGTACAGCGAGCCTGTTCATCTCTTTACAAAGGCTTGTTGTCCACCTGACCCAGCAGGGTCCCAGTGTGACTGATTCATGAAACGCAGAGGTGTGAGTGCCGGTTGGACCCGACGAGGACTTTTATCCCTGTACTTGGCTTTGTGGCCGCAGTACCAGCAGGAGCACAGTGAGCCTCGTCATCCGTGGCTGTACATCTGCTGAGGAACTAGAAGTCCCAGCAGGCTTGCTCTTCCTTTGTGGATGTTTAGCTGCTGACGGGCAGTAGAAGTAAATGGGGGGGGCCTGAGAACGTCAGTACGTAGCATTGGCGCCGCGGCACCGGCAGGAGTGCAGTGAGCCCGATCAGACAAATGCTTGGGCTTGCTGTGAACGTTCAGCTGCTAGACGTCCCACCAGGAGCACAATGAGCCTGATCAGCAAGAAGCTTAGGCTGTCCACCTAGGAATGGTCAGCTGCTGGGCGGGTCTGTGACGGCTTGGGCTGACAGGAAGTGGGTTGAGTTGCTGGGCTCACGGGAAGGGGGTGGAGTGATGCTGGGCTCACGGGAAGGGGGTGGAGTGATGCTGGGCTCACGGGAAGGGGGTGGAGTGATGCCGGGCTCACGGGAAGCGGGTGGAGCGGTGACGGGAAGCGGGTGGAGCGGTGACGGGAAGCGGGTGGAGCGGTGACGGGAAGCGGGTGGAGCGGTGACGGGAAGCGGGTGGAGCGGTGACGGGAAGCGGGTGGAGCGGTGACGGGAAGCGGGTGGAGCGGTGACGGGAAGCGGGTGGAGCGGTGACGGGAAGCGGGTGGAGCGGTGACGGGAAGCGGGTGGAGCGGTGACGGGAAGCGGGTGGAGCGGTGACGGGAAGCGGGTGGAGCGGTGACGGGAAGCGGGTGGAGCGGTGACGGGAAGCGGGTGGAGCGGTGACGGGAAGCGGGTGGAGCGGTGACGGGAAGCGGGTGGAGCGGTGACGGGAAGCGGGTGGAGCGGTGACGGGAAGCGGGTGGAGCGGTGACGGGAAGCGGGTGGAGCGGTGACGGGAAGCGGGTGGAGCGGTGACGGGAAGCGGGTGGAGCGGTGACGGGAAGCGGGTGGAGCGGTGACGGGAAGCGGGTGGAGCGGTGACGGGAAGCGGGTGGAGCGGTGACGGGAAGCGGGTGGAGCGGTGACGGGAAGCGGGTGGAGCGGTGACGGGAAGCGGGTGGAGCGGTGACGGGAAGCGGGTGGAGCGGTGACGGGAAGCGGGTGGAGCGGTGACGGGAAGCGGGTGGAGCGGTGACGGGAAGCGGGTGGAGCGGTGACGGGAAGCGGGTGGAGCGGTGACGGGAAGCGGGTGGAGCGGTGACGGGAAGCGGGTGGAGCGGTGACGGGAAGCGGGTGGAGCGGTGACGGGAAGCGGGTGGAGCGGTGACGGGAAGCGGGTGGAGCGGTGACGGGAAGCGGGTGGAGCGGTGACGGGAAGCGGGTGGAGCGGTGACGGGAAGCGGGTGGAGCGGTGACGGGAAGCGGGTGGAGCGGTGACGGGAAGCGGGTGGAGCGGTGACGGGAAGCGGGTGGAGCGGTGACGGGAAGCGGGTGGAGCGGTGACGGGAAGCGGGTGGAGCGATGCTGGCAGTGTAGGATGGAAGAGGAAGTGGGGGCAGCGCCGGAGTGAGGAGAGAAGGGCCCGGTCACTTGTTTTCTTCCCACGGGGGCCCCTATAATGTGGGAAGATTCCATTTTTTGACTTTTTCCCCCCCCCCTTTTTAGTGTGAAATAATCTGCGGAGGTTTCTAATCCGAACCCGACCCAAAAACCGTCCTCGGGTGTCTCTGGGTGACTTCTTCTCGTGTGAGGCCGGTGCAGCCGGAACCAAGAGACCCCATGTTGCCTGATAGCAGGTAAGAGCCGCCATTGTGGGGGGGGGGGGGCACATGGTCCTGCCAATGATTTGTTGTTTTTTTTTTACAATTTTCAATTGGATTGGTGTGGCACCTCCGGTGGATTGAGGGCCGGTGCACACCTAGGCGATCTGTGACCGCGCGGCAATCGTGCACGGTCACAGAGTCGCCCATCACAGATGATCGTGCTGTGGGTGCCTTTATTTTTCTAATGACAGACACCCCAGTCGCTCCCGGGCGGATCGCATGGTCTCCGCCCCCCCCACCGCGATTCCGCCCGTGCTTCTGAACATGATCGCGGCAAAAACAGTCGCACATGTTGTACCTCAAAAAAAAAGGAAAATTTATTTGCGATTGCCGCCGATTGTGATTGGGGCCGTGCGGCAACCTCTGTCTGCAATTGTGCAGTGCCCCGCGCTCCCGGATCACTCAGGTCTGCACCGGGCAGCATTCCTGTGTAATTGGAGACTATAAAACAGGTTCACGAGCGGAGAGATCCGGCTTTGCTTCATTTTAAAGGGGCGGGGCAGAGTTCTGATTGGCCGAGCTTCTCTTTCATTAGAGAACAATTTCCCTTTTAAAAAAAGACCTCCAGATTTTGTTTTTTTTTATTAACCCTTGCGGGGGAACTAACCCTTTTTGGGGGGTTTTTCTAACTTGGACTCAGGCGGGCGGTTAACCCTTGCCGTGCCGGGGGTAGCGCCACTACGAGGGGTTAGTAAAGAAAACCCCCGGAGTTCTGCTTTAAATTGCTATGTGAATGTAGCTCTGGGGGAAGTTTCAGGTTCCTTACTGGAAGCAGGCGAAGGGGGGGCCGCTCGGGGATGATGAGATACTATAGACGGCTCCACATTTGTCCGACTGCTGCCGACTCAGCCGAAATGTGAGCCGCGGGGTCACCCGGCGCACCACGCGGCTCAGATAAAGTATATCATTCGGCTGAGCCGGGTGGAAGATTCTCAGCGGAATGGAATCTGCAGCCGTCCCCCTGCACCCGGGCAGCACCGATATTGTCCTTGCCAGGTCGTG